ATACTTGGGGACCACACATCTATCAGATTGGCAACTCACTCTTAAATTGCTCAGAGACTTGGGCCAGGGAAATAGCTTAGCAGTCTACGCACCTGCCTGACAACTGCAAGGATCCAGGTTCGATCCCAGTACCACATGCCATGCTGGCTCCATGCCGAGCCAGCCACTGAAACTAGGCATGCTGATACACACCTGTAATCCCAGTGCTAGGGAAGCGGAGATAGGAGGATCATTATGAGTCTGAGCTGTATAGTGAGTCTCTGTACCAAATAAATAAATAGGTAGATAAATAAATAAAAGGGTTCAGAGACTTTAACAAAAGCTCTTTGCATTATAATTGTGACTTTTCTATAAGTGTGAGATAGTCTGTCTAGAAGATAATAGTATGTGTTTGAAAGTTCATCTTTATCTTCACCCTCCAACACACACGATCGTTGAAGCTACCTAGAATGGCAACATGATAACATCCCCTCAACTAATCTTTAGCATGTATACTTGGACAAGCTTCCTCTAAGCTATCTCATTCAATTCTTAGAACAAGGAAGGCTTAGGGAAGAAAACAGAGCTCTCTGAGTTTGGGCCCAAAGGACTGCAGAGTAACTTCTATTTTCTCTATTGCAAGGCAGCCTCCCTTTCCTCTCTACCCATCAGCACAGGCTTAAGTGACAAGAAGAAGGAAAAAAGAGAATCCTGAATGTGTCTACAGAAGGGCCAAGGCGAGAAAAACTCAAAGCCTGTGCCCAAGTTGGTTGCCGCATGGTAGAAGCAGTCGATTAGCACTGAGGGGCTTTCATGATGTATGTTAATGCTATCTCTAGCTAGCTCTTCAGAAAGATGCTTACAAATAATTTGTGTCAACACTGTAGGCACCATGAAAATGAAATGAAAACTACTGAGGTGATGAGAAGTGAGAGAATTTATTGTGGCAAAGCCCAGATAGGAAGCCACATTGGCGTTGCATGCTGCCTACTGTACGCACTCATAATCTCTTCATTGCAGACACACAGTTTCTATAAAGATTGAGAAGATAAATGCTAGTCAGTTCTCCATGAAATACTCCACTCTGTGAAAAGTGAGACAGACTTGAATCCGTCAGAACTCGAATAAAAATTCTCCTGCCACTCCATTTATGATACAATGTTCATCATGACAAATACAAATTCAAGTTGAGCATGTAACCTTGGTAACTGAATAATTTTCTAAGATATGCCCCATGCTATTCACTGAATGGTCCTCCACCCACTCCACATTCATAGCTCAGTGAATCCAGGCCACCCTGTTGTAAGAAGCGGTAAGTTATTCATGGTCTCATGGAACCCGTTCAGCATCCACACTTTTCCTCCTATAAAGTTCCACATATTGTCTGAAATATAAAAATAATCTCACTTTTCCTTCCAAACATAATTCTTGGGAATTTAATCAACAAGTTGGGAAAGACAGTTGGAACCAGAAAACAAAATAGTATCAACTACTAATATTTCCCATTCTCTGTTCAGGCTGGTCTTATCTGATGCTTGTAAAATTATTTAATCTTTTCCATCATCTCAGAGGAAAGAGAGCTCGGAAAATCCTGGTCATTCCACAGTAAGTATCAGTGGGATTTTCCGTAACTATCTGGATACAGAATGAAAATCTCGTAAGAAGTTGATCCAATTCTAAAACTTACTTCTCATCTTACTAATAAATACAAAGAGACAACCTACCCATAATTTCTCTCAAATAACATCTGTTTTCTTGGCCAGACTGCTGATACCTGAAAAAAAATTTTGAGTTTGTTCCAAGAAATCGACATTTACAGTTAAAGATGCATTTATGCGCTAAACATTATTTTCTATATCTGATTTAGAGCTAGCAAAGAGACTCTGAGAAAGAACCTGGCTAAGAACTCAGAAAAAAGAGGAATAAGATTGCTTTCTGAAAGCTAAACTTGAAACCAGCACTTAATACAGGAAGACAGAAAAATAAGGAATCACCATGAGGGGACAGAAAAGCATGCAGGCCCACAAGATGGGACCATCACCCCACTGAATGGGACCATCACCCCACACATAAAGACCATATTAGTCAATCACAGACTCATGGAAGAGGGAGAGTTGCGAATAGAGATTTAGGCAGTACCCACCATGCTCTGCTCGGAGGGAAAGGATTCTGGACCAACACAGTGTGCATAACAGAATGACTGACAACGAAACTTAACTGTGAAGATAAGAGTAAACATCTGGGCTGGCCTTGTCTTCTTCATGATGGGGAGGTCAAGAGCACCCAGAAGAGGCAATCATGGAGTGTTCGCTGAATGCATTGGTTGCTCTAACTCTTCGCTGACCACCTCCTGTCTGAAAGTGGGTTCCCCACACAGTTTTGACCACAGGAGAAAATGACCTGTGGACAGTGTTTTGTGCATTTGAGAATCCTAGTCCCCATGACAGCTGCAAAAATTACTGAAATACAACTTGATTTCTCATGTTCCAAGTCTATGCCTAGAGGAATGTCCCCTGTGTGCCCTACTGGGTTGAGTTTCTGAGTCCACAGGGCTGTGGGACATCTGGCACTTAGCCTATGGTCACAGGCTAAGCGTCTTCAATGTGCTATCAGATCCCGGGCCATTCGCTTTATGCATTTGAATTCATTCAGTCTCCACAGTAACAAATTAGCTACTCAACTCTCATTTTGTGAAAAAGGAAACTGAGTCTCTAAAAGCTTTAATAACTTACTTTATGAATTCAGAAACAGGGTTCTAACTTGGGTTTTCTAGGCTCTACAGCCACATTTCTTAAATTGTAAGACATACTATGTCTGAAGAGATGAGTCTCCTGTCCATACTCTGTCCCATCAGGAACCAGGCCCAGAGGCACTGGCCTGAAATCCCAGCACTCTGGGAAAATGAGGAAGGAAGACTGTGAGTTTGACCCCAGCCTAGGCAACTCAGTAATTTAGCAAGACCATATCTAAAAAAAAAAAAAAAATTCTGAGGGCTGAGGATGTAACCCAGTGCAAAGGCCATCCCTAGTACAGAAAAAAAACAAGCAAGGAAACAAAGAATCCACTCAGCTTCTTCAAATCTTGATCTTGGCCATGTGATAGTGAAAAGCATTTCATTCTTTCTGGACCCCAGAGTCTTGTAAAATGGAGATTCTAAAACCAACTGGTAAAGTATTGAGAGATTTAAACCAAATCATATTTATAAAGTTGGCATCAGGTCTTTTTTATTCTAAAAAGAGTAAAAGTAAAGCAGAATTTCCAAACAGGCTAATAGGAGAGTAATAATAAGTAATAATTACATATCATTGTCTTTGCAATAGTTATTCAGAGTACAGGTATAGGCACAATACCTTTTTCAGACAATATTAATACAAACCTTTCTTTTTAATGAACTAAGAGAAACAAGCTATATAATTATATATCTTGTGCATAACCATATATGTTTTTTCTTCCCTCCATTCTCCTTTCTCCATCACAGCTTGCCTCTTCTTTTGGACAGTTAGCATCATATCTTCCATGACAAGCACTCAAGCTGTTATTATTTTCATGTTCTTTAGGACACAACCCAAAGCATGCACATGAGGTCTTGCAAGGCTTTGCATGTCTTCACAGTCTCCCACAAAGCCTGATGTCCACAGCCTCCCAGAGAACTCAGGTGCAGCTGGGCCTTGGTATCGAGGGGCCTTGGCTCCAGAGCCCCTGTGGATGCTCAACTCCCACACAGAAAATGGCATGTAATTTGCATATAAACTACACTCATCCTCCCATATGGTTTATGAACACATCTGGACTGTGTCTAGTCCTTAACATAATGTAACTGCTGCGTAAAGAGATGCTCTGCTGTACTAAGAACTGACCACAAGGGAAGAGGTTGGCTCAGATGCTTCCCCTTCCAAATATTCTTGTTTTCAGGTTGACCGGATTCTACAATGCAGAATCCAGGAACACAGAATGCCTGCTGCTCCGTACACTTCACACAGGCTTTACCCTGGACCCTGAACCTATAGTGTGGAAGGCTCTAGCTTTTTTGTACTTTACCAAGCTTCACCCAATGCTCTCAGGTGAAATGGGTTTCTCAAGATTGGTTTTGTTCTAGAAAATAATGCCTTTTTGTCACTGATCTTACTGTCCCCTGGGGCCTTTTACGTCTGGGATTCCTGCCTACCTCCTTCAGAAGGTGTTGCCTCACAGCCCAGCATGACCCTGCGGGACCTGGTGGTAGCAGAGGGAGGGCTGGAGACAGGTGGCGATCCCAAATTAGAAATCGGGTCTTAAAGGGGCCAGAACCAAGAGGAGATCTCAAAAAAGGATGTCCTCTGTCATAACGGAAGCAGAGAGATGAATAATATGACGACTGTAAACATCCATCCATGTATACATTGTAGTACCTCCTCTGTGAAATTTTGTACAGCCATTGAAAACAAGTAAGAGACAACTAAGGAGATGGCAAATAAGAACATGTAAGAGAGGAGGGTACTGATAACAGCATGTGGTTCTTGACAGTATAGGAAACTAGCTTTTAAAAAAAGCTTAAGGGACTTTAAAGCAAAATTTTAATAATTGTAACAGGGTAAGGTGGCTGATTTTTAGAACTCATGTTTTCCCCAAACATTTCCCTAAAAAGTAGATATTTCTTTTAAATGTAGTACATATATATATATATAAAGAAATATATATAGATATATATGTGTGTACATATACATATATATGTGTGTATATATATTTTTTTTCTTTTTTTTTTTTCTTTTTCAACATCTGTCTGGCCCGTGCCCCCCGGGGTGGCTGCAGGAAGGAATGAGCTACTGCCTGAGCCAGGCCCAAGGCTACTTGCTCCAACGCGACCAGCCTGACTCAGCAGACTGTGGGCTTGGGCGAACTTGAACTTGGTGGGGACAGAGGTCTCCCCGAAGCTCCTTCTTGAGCTGCTTCACCTGCTTCCTCTTTGCCCGGCCCTGCAGACCCAGCCCTGCAACACGCGGGCCCCTGGGCCCCTCCCGCACCAGCTGTAGGATCCCTCGTACCTCTTGCAGGGGATAAGTGCCTTTCTCTCGTCCAGCACCCTCACACGCTGGTTGGGGCCATCGTAGGACAGCAGCGCCCGGCTGTTGCGCCCGGTGCTCTGCTGGTACACGACCTGACGTCCCTCCCATTGCTGCGGGGCCTGGCAGGGGTGCGGCGTTCCCGGGGACACCGCCGTGCCCAGCGCGCACAGCACGCCCAGCGCGCAGACCCAGAGCCAGGCGCCCAGAGTGCGCGGGGCCTCGCGGGGAGGGGCGCTCCCTGGCATCGCGGGACAGGGAGCAGGAGTCCCCGTGCTGAGACTCGGCCGAACTGTCCCCACGCTGGGGCCTCCCCGGCTGCTGAGACCGCTTTGCACTGGGCCGGGAAGGAGGAAACCTACAGAGAACCGAGCAGCTGCTCCTGCCTCGGCCTCCTCCTCCCTCAGTGGCTGCTTCCCCGGCTCACTGCTGCCAACAGGAAGCGCAGTGGCGGCCGTGCCACCGACATCCTGGAGGGCACCGCGATTTAAGGGGGCAGGGAGCGGGAAGGCGCCGCGAGGGAACGTGTTCCTTCACAGAGGGGATGGGGCGAATTCAAGGTCACAAGGAGAAAGGCCTTGACTGTAACCTGACACTTGGAAAAACCACACTTGCTCCAAATGAAAACAAATCCTCATCGCTTCAGGAACAAATGATACTCGTTATGGCCCTTGCAACCGGTCTGGGATTCAGGGACCTCGTCTCCCTCCCCCACCAACTGGCAAAGTCTCAGGTCTGGAGATTGCTGTGGCTGGGGCTCAACATCTTTTTTTTTTTTTTCCATAATTTTATTGAGAAACAAATAGCAATGAGACAGTTTCAAACCAAATTGGTAGAACAGTTTCAATAATTAACACATTGCATACATTCTTCCTAGTAGTTAATTGCTGTACAAGATGCAGACATGATATCCTATTTACAAACACCATTAGAACAAATCCCTCTATTCATTAAGAGAATGTAACTATATGTCTATACTAACCACTTGAAGAACCTGGGTCAATCTCCAGTATTGCATAAACACACAAACAAACTGTGTTTATGGTGAAATAATGTTCAGATATGTAACCTGTAATTTTTAAAAAATATAGTAACTTAAAAGAGACCTTGCTATCCAAGTGCATAGCTTCTTTATGAACTATGTGGAGATTGAAGGAGTCAAGGAAGAACACTTCCGAATAAAGGGAATGGGGTAAACAGCAAAGGCCACAGGGCTAGGTTCAGGCACAAAGCAGGAGAGCACTCTGGAGCCAGAGCAGTCACTTGGCACCTAAAGATACATCTTAAGGGTTGTTGTTATTAATAATGAGGATGGTGAAAGCCATTGATGGATACATAGCTAGAGAGAGAGGTGTCAGGTATATGCTCAACTATGAAGGCAGTGAGCCATCAGCCTGGTGCATGGGTAGGGCTGGAGAAAAAAAGGAAGACCATGCAGGAGAGGGTTATTATTCAGGCTGCTCTAATGCACTGACCAAAGGAATGGAGAAGGAAGGACAGAGTTGAGCATTGTAATCGAGAAGGATTTAGATTCAGAGGGAGTCAGGTGTATGTGGTGCATGCCTGTTACTCCAGCACTTTGGGAGGATCACAAGGTGGAGCCTAGCCTGAGTAACTTAGCAACTTAGGGAAACCCTGTCTCCAAATAAAAAATAAAAGGTTCAGGAGATATATCTTGGTGTGAAAGTCCTGGGCTCAATCCCCTCTAACCTCCTATTAATCAACCAGTGAGTCAAACATGGGAGTAAGGGTTTCTAGCTTGAGTCACTAGGATTTAGTGCTACTGTGGAAAGGAGATTAATTCCAGTTAGGCTTGGTTGACTTTAGATTCAGGTGGGACAGTCAGGAGGAGATACCTAGGAGACTGGGGAAAGCACTTCCAGAATACAGCAGGGTTCTGGGCTTTCAAAGCCAGGGACACAGAGGCAGGTCTTGAAACCCAAGAGCAGAGCACCAGCTTCTGGGGCAATAGTTCCCCACCCTCCAGGGGACATTGAGCAATGAATTCTCCAGCCCTTCATGTCAAATGTGAGAAAATGTGGAGTTGTTGTGTGTTAAAAAAAAAAAAAAAAAGGTGAAGAGGCTGCAGATAGAACCCTGGGGAACACCAGATATTTAAGGATGGGCAGAGAAGTAGGCACTTAGGAGCCTGAAGGAGGTCGATGGAGACAAGTCCCCACTAGGAGGGAGCTTGCTCTGCTTGGAGTAATAGACTGAATGCCAAAGGACTCTTCTAGAATCATAGTCACCAGAGGAGGCAGGAAGAAGGGCAGATGGCAAAAAACCCTTTATGGGTGAGTCTGTAGCCTGATTCCCAGCTCTACAGAAAGACTGGAGACTCACCCTCTTTCCCCCAAAATAAGATCTATCTGAAAAATAACCAGCCTTGAAGACTAGAGTTGAAAAGTGCCAAACCTGATGGGCCTATCCTCACCTTCTCTGCCACCACTGTTCTCTTGCTCAGTGGCTATGCTGTAAGGCAGGTAAGGTGAGGGCAGGGTGAATGGGGCTGGCATTTTTCATCTCTTGTTTCTCAGACTGATTATTTTCCAGTTGGGTCTTATTTGGGGGGAAATTCCATAATACCACAGTCTGATGGAGTAAGCAAGGAGCATTTCAAAGAAGGACTTGAGTCTCTCATGCCTGTGAGTAAAAGACATGCAATCAGGGAACAGCACAGCGGGTCCTAAGCCTGGGGACTTGAGAATGACATAAAGGCAGAAAGCCAAAGTGGCTGTAGAAGTCTGTGCACTTTCTAAGTTTGCCCTCCTCAAACAACTCCTAAGGAAAGGGTAAGGAGGTCCAATCTTCTCTACCCGATAGGAACTCATGTTGAAAGTCTTTGTCACGAAGGAAGGGCCTTAGATTCCTGGGATTCCTCTGATGGAAATGACCTAATATTTCACCTGCATTACTCTGCATGTTTGATAGTTTCCTAGCCTGGTATCTTTGGTATCTTTGTAGCTTTAAATCCACTCTATAGGAAACTAGAATATCTCTTTCCAAGGACCTGGGATGTCCCCCAGGAGGATCATAACTCCACTGGTGAATCCTGAAATATATTTATCTCACTTGTCCTTTTAACTTACCCAGTTTAACTTACGTTCCTTAAAAAATACATTTGAAGTGCTTAGCTCCATGCCTGGGCCGTTGTAGAGGTCCATCCAATGTCAGTGATGCTTATTTTCTCAGCTATTTTAGTCCTCTGTCTTGGTCAAGGCCACACTAAAACTAACTTTGTGGGTCTCAGCTTCGGAGAGGAAAAAAAAAAAGTCTGCCTCAAATTCAGATTTCAAATTGAGCTATGGTTTTAAAGATTGCTATTGAGGGGCTGGAGAGTTAGCTCAGCAGACTAACAGCCTGCTTAGACAAGACAAGCACAGGGACCAGAGCTTGCTCCAGGCACCAGGTGGTGGCCCTACCCCCAGGCACGATGAGCTGGCCGCCAAATCCAGGTGTGGTGGCACCTACCTGTAATCCCAGTGTTGAGGAGGCTGAAAACAGGAGGATCACTATGAATCCAAGCTGCCTGTGTAGTGAGACCCTGTACCAAAAACATTTAAAAAAAAAATGATTGTGATTCAGAGAACATGTTTATTGTCGGTAATGTCCTAAGCAAACGCACATCAAAAGTCTAGAAACTGATGTAGGCTAGCATAATTAAGCTTCGATTTCTTGTGACTGGTGGTGTGAGTCCAGGGGTAGGTCTTCTCTCTTCCTAATACAAGCAAGATAGAAAACAAAGCATACAGACTCTTCCCACAGCACACAGCTTCCCATTCAAGTAACCATCTACAAGCACAACAGAGATCAACATTCGTATTTCCAGTTACTTAAGAGGCCCAAGCAGGAAGAGCACCAAGTTCAAAGTTATCCTATCCTAAACAGTTTAGTGGGACTTTGTCTCAAAAGGAAAAAAATAAATAGGGCCCAAAACGTAGCTCAGTGGTAAAGTGCCTCCGGGTTCCATCTACTGGCTTAAAAAAAAAAAAAAAAAAAAAAAATGTGTTGTGAAGAAGGCTGTTGATAGAAATAAGAACCTTTCTCAAAGGTCTGGCCAAACAGCACAGGGGATTAAAGCCCCGGGGGTTTGATCCCTGGGCCTGCTGTGCTGGCCCCACCCACCCCGGGTGGGCCTGAGACTGCAGTTGAGACTGGGTGTGGTGGCACGAGCGCCTGTAGTCCCAGCTCTTGGGAGGCTGTAAACAGGAGGATCACTATGAGTCCGATCTGGTAGTGAGACCCTGAACACCCCACCCTGTACACCCTTCCTTAAAATAAAAAATGAAATAAAATAAATAAAAAGTTCTCAAGCTAAAAGATGCTACGGTGGCTCTGAGCCATCCTGTTAAATTCTGGGAGCACACACAATTCAGATGCCTTTCTGGAAAAATCTGAGCCACAGCTGATGTCCACTACCACTACCACCACAACAGCAAAACAAAAACAAGCTGCACAGAACCAGAGCGCGTGGGGCGGTTTATATAAAGAGAGAGAGCTTCAGCAGCAAAGTTGTCTACTGTACCGGTACAGACGGCCTCGGAGTGGTGTATCTCACGCCCTCTACTGGACAAAAACAAAACAAAACAAAACAAAACAAAAAAACCAGGTCTCAATTAGAGGGCAACGGTGCGCGTTCCCTTTGGGGGAAGAATCCTGGGCCAGGGAGCAAAGAGCGCCTTTCTTGCCCTCGCATTTCTCTCCTACGTCTTTCAGTACTGTTGTCCAGAGAGACTAGCCAGATGCGATTTTTTTCTTGATCCAAAGAGAAAGGAGGGACCATTCAAAGCTGGGAGGAGATGATGTCAGCGTTTCTGCTCCGAGGGGTCGGGGGTGGGGCAGAGGGGAGCCAGAGGCCCGGGAGTGCGCGGCCCACGTCAGGGGAATCGGGGATAAATAGGTCGCGCCATGGCCGGGCCGGCCGCGCTCCGAGCTGCCCCGGGCGGTGCGCGCCCCCGAGGCCGAGCGCTGCTGCCAGTGCGCCAACCGCGGAGCTTAGCCAAGGTGGGGAGGGGACCTCTCTTGCAACCCCGAGGACTTGCTCCAGCTCCTCCGGCTCCTCTCGGGAGACTCGGCTGCCTAGACCCCGCGGGGCGCGGAGCGCGAAAGCAGCGCCATGCTCCCGTGTGTCCTCGTCGCGCTGCTCCTCTGGTTGCCCCTGGCGCCCGGCGTGCGCGGTGCGCCCTGCGAGGCGGTGCGCATTCCCATGTGCCGCGCGATGCCCTGGAACCTCACGCGGATGCCCAACCACCTGCACCACAGCACGCAGGAGAACGCCGTGCTGGCCATCGAGCAGTACGAGGAGCTGGTGGACGCCAACTGCAGCGCCGTGCTCCGCTTCTTTCTGTGCGCTATGTACGCGCCCATCTGCGCGCTCGAGTTCCTGCACGACCCCATCAAGCCCTGCAAGTCTGTGTGTCAGCGCGCGCGCGACGGCTGCGAGCCGCTCATGAATCTCTACAACCACAGCTGGCCCGAGAGCCTGGCCTGCGACGAGCTCCCTGTCTACGACCGCGGCGTGTGCATCTCACCTGAGGCCATCGTCACCGACCTTCCTGAGGGTGAGGGGGTGAGGCGCGGGAGGGCAGCAGGAGCTGCGGCCAGGGGCGGGGCTGCCACCTGAGAATCGGCTCGGCTCGGTTCACTTCCCAAGGTTGGAGAAGGTGGGAAGAGGCAAGGAGAGCGCTGGGTGGGCTTCTGAGCAGTAGGGAGCCAGAATGCCCTATGAAAGGAAAAAAAAAAAATTGCTTATGCACAGCACTAGGGGAGACTGTGGCCAGAGAAGGTCGACATAGAGATGAATTAATTGCCTGGGGGATTCATCAAATTGGTGAGACTGTCTTTAAACTGAATATAGAGATGGAGCTGTTACTCTGGGCAAAGACCCTGGATTCCATTCACAGTATCGCACAAATAAATAATAGATAATAAATAAATAAATAAATAAATAGATAGATAAATAAATATTGGCTACAAGGGAGCCACTGGCAATATTTTTACTTACAATTGTAATAGAAACAATACCAGGTACTTCCGTGTGTGTGTGTGTGTGTGTGTGTGTGTGTGTGTGTGTAGCACTGGGCCTGTTATAACACTGACTCATTTAATTCTTAAATCAATCCCCCAGGCAAGGGTTAATCATCTCTAAAGATCTTCTGAAGGAGCCCTCCTGGTCTTTCCTCCCTGCCCCACCTGGAGCAAGCTTTATTGATACAGTGGTCCTAGCAAGTGGGGGCCTCTGTCTGTTCTCTGGGTACTGACTGACAGCCAAGGACTGTGGCCTTTAGCTAATCTGATCTGGGTTTCCTTACCTCCCTCCTTTCTCTCTGACCATTTTGCTGCTCTTTGAGGGGAAGGAACAGGAGTAAATCTGCTTGGTGAAATGAGACCTCAGAGTAGGTCTGCATTCTTTTATCAAGGTTTTCTCTAAGCTAGGTTGTCAGCAGTTCCAGGTCATGTGATACCCATGTGGAGCCCTAAACATAAACAAGGAGCAGTTATGTGGAGAGGCAAATTGCAATTCTTCTCTAATTCTGAGTGTAAAAATATATATCTACTGGTTAAGCTATTTTTCAGCACTGGAGATTGAACTTAAGGCCTTCCCACTGAGCTATGCCCTTACACACACAGACACACACACACACACACACACACACACATGCGTGCACACATATACAGATACTTTTTTTGAGACAGGGTCTCACTAAAGTCACTAAGTTACCCAAGCTTGGCTGGAGCCTTGCAGAGTGCGAAGGTTACAGCTGTGTGTCACTATGCTTAGTAATGTGGGGTATCACTTCTGCAGCACGGAACTGTTTTTGCCTTGCGATATGTAAAGTGAGAATTTGGAAATATTCAGGTTGTTTTTATTAAACTATCAGAGGGAGAGCCATACTCAGGAGGCTGAGGCAGGAGGATAGCCAGGAGTTCAAGGCCAGTCTGGGCTAGATAGTGAGTACAAGACAAGACTGAACTACACAGTGAGACCCTGTCAAAAAACAAAACAAACTGAAGCAAAAATTTAAAGTATCACATGGAAAATCAGCGTTTGAACATAGCCCTGCAAGGCAGCAATGCAATTTATCCTGGAGAGTTAAACAGGTTTGCACTGGCCTCACTTGGTGCATGGGAGGTAAAATGTGTCACCAGAAGGACCCCTTCCCTTAGCCTATCGGTGTCCTTCTGAAGGAAGTAGCTGACCATGAATCCTGTCTTGATTCTTCAGCTCTAATTTTAATATGCTTGTCAGATGGTTCGTTATTACAGCTGAGTGAAAGCCCTGCTCACTGACCATGTGGCCGTGTTATTTCAGATGCAAAGTGGCTAGATGTCACCCCAGATATGATGGTTCAAGAAAGGCCACTGGATGTGGACTGCAAGCGCCTCAGCCCTGGTCAGTCCTGCCTTAGTCTCTCCCTCTCGTCCTCCTCCCCACAGTGAGGTCTGTGCTCCTTTCCAACTTCTTATCAATCTTTGGCATTTTTTTAGATCGGTGCAAGTGTAAAAAAGTGAAGCCAACTTTGGCAACGTACCTGAGCAAGAACTACAGCTATGGTGAGTCACTGTCATTGTGCCCAGAAGTTCACTTTGGGAATGTGACAAACTGTCTGCTGGACGCAGTAAATAAAGTTGACCGTTTTTCTAACTAGTTAAGCAGCTTTTTGATGGCACAAGGATAATTCTAAGAGGTTGTGTTTTTCTGAGCAAACTGAGTAAAAACCAAAGTAAATGACCCAGGTGACAGCACTTACAGGGATCAGATTTAAAGTGTGACATCTTGTTCCAGTTATCTTAGAACTGCTGTAGGTAAAGGCACATCTTTCTTATTGTTTTTTCTCTTAACATCTTCTTGTGACTGGGGGGAGGTCTGTGGATTTGATGATCTATGGCCCAGAGAATTAATCTCAGCCCATGTATCTTTTATTTCTAAATAGCTACAAATATTTAACACCCTGAAGAAATCATGAGGAAATGTGGTATCACAAACCTCTGGCTGCAATATCAGAATAAATGCTCTCCTCTCTTATTTGAAAGGACCATATAGTATTTTCTTCAAAGATAAGACTTAATCATGGTTTTTAAATGTTTTAATTAATTTTAATTCTACTGTCATCCTTTGGTGTGTATTTCACTAGGAATATGTTCTCTGCATTTTTTAATCTTTCTTGGGCTATTTTATACTTTGATGCAATGTTTCCATTATTTCTGCAGAAATAATAGGAAACTGTTTTGTGGGAAAGCATTCAGTGTATTTGCTTAACTTAGTTTTCATATTCCAAAGCAAAATTTTATGTCAGTAAGAAAGTTTAGAATATATACCACACATGGTATTAGGAAGATCACAGAAGTCTGAAAACATAACCTGTATCTAAACTGCATTTGAAGAATCTTACGTAGTCATTTTGAACAAGTCAACACCAAGATAAGTACATAGTCTTTTCTGGTAGCTTGTTTCTTATAACCTGTTCTGTGTGGAGACTGTCTTTTTTAAATTAAAATTTTTTAAAATTAATTTTATTGAGAAAGAAATAGCAATGAGAAAGTTTCAAAACAGGTCAGTAGGACAGTTACAATAATTAATACATTGCATACTGTTGTCTTCGTAGGAGTTATTAATAGTACAAGATGCAGACATGATATCCTGTCCAAACAGTATTAGTACAAATCTTTCTTCTCATTGAACTAACAGAAAGTGGCTGTATACCTATCCTATTTTGTATATACAGATATATATATATATATTTTTTTTCTACTACAAAATGATCCTTCATTTATATCCCCCTTTTTGTTTAGTTTTGTCAGCAAGATGTCTTAATGAGGTCAGAGTGGTTTCTCATCTGCCCTGCCTCAGCCTTGGGTGTCAGCAGTCTCTCCGCCAAGCTAGTCTCTGGGGTGTTGCGGCCTTGTGGCAACCCTGAAGATAAAACACTTTTCTGTTCAAGTGCTTTTTGGCTCCTCCGTAAGGCAGTTTTAGGATGGAATCCAAGACAGGCCCATATTAGGCTAATTACAAGTCCATGGGAAGCAGGAATAATAGCGAGGAACCAGAGAGGCCAGAACTTAAAACCTGATCAAAGACAATGACATGGACAGCCATCTGTAATAACAATTCACTCCAGACCTTTCTCTGTCAGTCTGGGAAATTAAAGGATTGAGAAGAGTGATTCTCAGCGATTCCTTGCAGTTAGAAAATGTTAGGACTCTAATAACTTTTTCTGTTCAGCAGAAGGTCAAGCATCAGAGGGGCGGTTGAGGGGATACAAACTTTGCAAGGACTTTGCAATCTGAGGATAGGTGATATTCACTCCAAAGCATTACAAGGGAGCATAGAGATAAATAAACGTTGCTCTGAAATTTTTCTGACCTCAAAGCAGAGCTTTCCCATCTTGTAGTGTGACTGAGGACTTCTAAGACAGTGGTGACAATGGGGGGTGTTTTGCACTTAGCCTATGCCCATGTATGCTTCTTGCCTGCATCAGGGTTGCTTGGACTTGACCATAGTTATGGGCATGATTTCTTTTCTTTCTTTCTTTCTTTTTTTTTTTTTTTTTTTTTTTTTGTGGTGCCGGGGATTGAACTCAGGACCTTGCACCTGCCAGGCAAGGGTTTATTCTACTGAGCTGTCTCCCCAGCCCCCAGGCATGATTTCTTAAGAGCAGCTCTAGATTTGGCCCCAATATACCTGTCTTAGTGTTCCCCCAAAGGTGCCAACGACACTTATCTGGACTTTTAAATCACAGTTATTCATGCCAAAATCAAGGCCGTGCAGAGGAGTGGCTGCAGTGAAGTCACCACGGTGGTGGACGTCAAAGAGATCTTCAAGTCCTCATCCCCCATCCCGCGGACACAAGTCCCACTTATCACGAATTCCTCCTGCCAGTGTCCTCACATCCTGCCGCATCAAGACGTCCTCATCATGTGTTATGAGTGGCGCTCAAGGTCAGCTGGGAGGGACGCTGGTGCCTGCACGTGGCTTGCACAGTGGAGAGCTCACTTAGGAGTCACACACACACAGGTGTACACACACGCAGACACACACAGGTATGCACACACACAGGTACACACACACAGGTATACAAACATGCACACACACAGGCATACACACATGCAGACACACACACAGGAACACACATGTGCAGACACACGCACACACACACACACACAGAACAAAACAGCCTGTTCATTGATCTTAAATAAGTAATTTTAATTGGCTATTATATATCCTAAGAATCAAGTTCTTATAGAATGGAGGAAAAAGGAAAAACATAAGAGAATTTGCACTGAATCTTTTAAAATCAATTTCAAAATTCTTTGATTTCAAGAATACATAGGAGGGGCCGGGGAGATGGCTCAATAGAATAAGTGTTTGCCTGGCAAGCAAAAGGACCTGAGTTCAATCCCCGTTTCTGCTAAATATATATATATGAAAGTAAATCATTTTGAATAAGAAAAATTCTTTTCAAATCAAAGTTAGTGCGAAAGATACTGAATTTATAAGGGTCTGTTTGGTAGCTTATGGGTGAACTAGGTATCCTGAGACTAGAATTCCACAGGTTTTCTTAATGTACATTTTCACAGTACTTATTTGATAGACCCTTGCACAAGTGCTCTACACACTCGCTCATGCACACACACGTCTCCAAGGTAAGGTGACTTCTGACTCCCAGAGTGTGTGTCTGTCAGTTCAATCTTTACCCAGCAAAGCATAAACAAATGAGTACACGTCACAGACTCTCACTGGGAATTTTTGTCTCCACATCTTTCTCCTGGTCATTTTTTCATATCATCAGTATTCTGTTTCTAACAAAGTCAAACTATTCAGCCCAGGTTGCAGGATGGGCCTCATCTGCAACATGCTGCGTGTGGCCCCAGGAAGGTCATGAATTTGTATCTAAATCACCCTTTGTGTTTCTGCCAGGGGTGTGCTTATCCCTTTCTTTTTTATGCAGGCCAAGATGCTAGCCTTTCAAAAAGCAAACAAAAATATCTTTCAAAATTGACCTCAGCAAGACAACTTCTCTCTCTCTCTCTCTCTCTCTCTCTCTCTCTCTCTCTCTCTCTCTGTCTCTCTCTCTGTCTCTCTTTCTCTGTCTCTCTGTCTCTCTGTCTCTCTCTGTCTCTGTCTCTCTGTCTCTCTCTGTCTCTGTCT